TTCTAGGCAATGTTCCAGCTCTGGACAATCTAAGAGCTGAAAATAACTAAGACTCCCCTGGCCTCAAGAACTGGGAGAACAGCTGAGTCTTGAAGGAGCTAAACTGGGAAAGGGCAGAGGTAATCCTGAGGAATTTTGTGCAAGTCTTGACACTGGAGAAAGTGAATCTAAGTTTAAAACGGGCAGCTTTTCATCCAGGGCACTGTCAGCTCTAGAGATGGTGTATGCACCAACAGGAAATCACTGTCTGGATTAAACACTCAGCCTGGATGACTGGGTTGCTCTTCTTGTTAAAACATTCTTTTTTCCAGACTGAATTGGTATCACAAAGTACCCTATATTCATTTTGAATAAGTCCAAAGCTGACTAACACTACTAACTTTATGCTTCTCATAAGGCGACATGCTTTCATTATATTACATTTTGCAGCACTCTGGGCTAATGGAACCTATTAGGTAAATTAACCCCATAATGTGATTTGCCACAAAGGAAGCACAGAATAGAATCAGAGGCAGGAATGAAAGAGGAGTCGAAGGAAAAGCTAGGCAATGGAAGCCCAGGGAATAAAAGCTTCTAACTTCACAGATATCTCATCTCTAGGTGACTGAAGATTTAGCAGTTTAAGGTAAATTCCAGCTCTGTCCCACTCACTGGCTGTGTGAATTAGTATAAATTATTTAACCTCTAAGCCATTTCTAATCCATAAAAATCATCTGTAGTAACTACCTGCTTCATCCGTTACTATGAAAATGAAGTGAGATACAGCAGGAAAAGTTCTTGGCACAGCGCTGGTTTATGGCAGCCCTCACTCACCATTGGTGGCTATTTTCCATAATGGAAAGGTAGGCTTCTTTTCAGCAGGCCTATGACTGTTAAAGTTCATTTTTAAAGGGCTCCGAGGCTCAGATATTTCAAATGCAAGCTAGACATGAAATTGAGACCTACCTCTGGTGAAATCACCCTTGATTCCTTCACTCTGAGCCTTCATCACAAAATGTCTTTACTCAGTCCCCTCCTTTCTATTTACCAGGACTCCACATTAATTTGGACCTAGTTTCCAGTCTGGATTATTCCAAAAGCTTTCTAGGTTCTGGCCTCCCTAACTGCCAGAAACTTTATTTATTTTTATTGAATCATAATTGATTATACATATTTTGGGGATTCAATGTTGACATACGTTGATCAAATCAATATTACTAGTATGTTTTTTGTTACAAATTGTACTTATTCTTTATGCCCCTTGTCCACTTTCTCCCTATTCCTTTCTCCCTCCCACCTCCCACCTCTGATAACCCTAAATTTCTTCTCTCCTTCTGAAAGAGTAATGGTTACTCTGTTGATTCGTTGCCTAGATGATCTGTCCAATGCTGAAAGCTGGGTTCTAGTCCCCCAATATAATATAGAGCAGATTCTTCTTCTGTCACTCTGGAATGGGCTTTGTGGAGAGAGACATCCTCTTCTTTTCTTTGGTCTCTACTGGTGACTCTCCTTGTGTCAGTGCACTCCAGTGGCTGACAGACCAACTGCATGGTGGTTGTAACATCTAGCCACTCAGAAACTTTTATTTAAAACACCACCACACTGGGCCGGCCCAGTGGCGCACTGCTACAGTGCGCCGCTTGGGAGCGTGGTGGCGCTCCCACCGAGGGTTCGGATCCCACATACAGACCGGTTCCCGCTCACTAGCTGAGCGAGGTGTGGGCGTGACACCGAGGGTTGCGATCCCGTTGCCGGTCCCGGTCCGGTACGGGCACGACACTGAGGGTTGTGATCCGTTGCCGGACACGAAAAAAAAGACAAAAAGGGGAACAAAAAAAAAAAAAAA